CCGTACACTGAATTTCTTTTGTACAAAAAATATTGTTGATGAACATGGGTATCTTTGAAGCAGACGTCTGTATAGAAAATTCTAGAAGAAGATGAGTTTGGGAGGAGCCCAATCTTTTAACGAGTGCTCGCTTGCACTTGGAGACAGTTTACAGTAAACCAAATCTTCACTGATGTTGTTGAAGCAGTGGAGTGTAAAACAACAGAGCACATTCAGTATGTGGTTTGGCAAAGACGTGCAGCTGTAAAGGAGTTTGTGTTGCGGAGGAAAGAAGGCTTTAGGGGTGAGGGGGGTTCATCCTGTGAGACCAGCACAGGTGGTTAGGAGGGGGGTTGGTGTAATGGAGGGAGGGAATAGGGCTGCTGTGGGCGTGGAAGTGCAGTAATGTGCCCACTTCCTGCATCAAACCCCTGCGCAGCACTGTAAAAACCATGAGGTTACAACAAGATCAGCACAATTTGCTGCTCTTGGCCTTTTTTTTTCCAGTTAACAGCAGGCAGTCATGGCTGACTTTTTTTCTAATCATAAAAGGGAGGCGAAAAAAGAGAAAGATGAAATTATACAGCGAGAGAAACCTGAGAATTGACACGATGAAACTGAAAACGTGATGTTCACCCTATGGACGCTGCTTCCACTAATAATAAAGTAATTGAGTTCTTTTACTCCAGTTTATTTATTTATATTTATAGCACCAGAGACGCACCAACAATCAGATGACCCCCTACGAGCAAGTGCTTGGCGAGAGTGAGAAGGAAGAATTCCCATTTAACAGGAAATTCCCTCAGAACAGAACCAGGTTCAGGAAAGGGTAGCCATCTGCCGCAGCCGTTTGGGGTCAAGGGAAGGAAGACAGGACAAAAGACACACCATGGAAGAGAGCTAGAAATTACAGTAATAACAACAACAAGTAGAAGATGTAGGTAGTTTTTCATTTTTATGTATTATGCAGACTAATATTTCTCTCACTTTTTTTTTACAATATAGTATTTGTCTGACAGCTTTGAGTTACTCGTAGCTTTACAAGTCGAAATGTGTTGATTTTTACCTTTTTCCAATAACCAGAAAGATTAAATGTTTTTGTTATGGGTTCATTTTAGAGATGTGCTCATTTCACAGGGCAGCCAGGCTACAACACATACAAACTTATGATGTTAGTAAGGTTAGGTTTGATTTAGGTTAAACTGGATAGTTCTTCTTCTTGTTCCTTTCCTAGTGTATTGTCATATACATTCTGTTATAATACTGATTGTTCATCTTAAAAGGGCCAACGTTTAAAAATATGGTAAATAAGTCAAAAACTCAGTTTTCAATATTCTTTACCAAGTTTTTAACACGTGTGATGTCATAGAGCACCGACATCCCAAAAATGAATCATCTCAGGCACAGCAGCCCCACCCACCTGCTGTTCTGACTTTCTCTTTATGAGTCTCTACAAGCTAGTCTGAAGAACGTTTCAACCCAAATTTCTTTGGCTTGAAAGGTTAATTACATTAATATCAGAGGTGGTAAAATAATTTGTTTTAGACTGGGGATGAACTGCAGGGCTGCACCAAAGCCCAGTGTAAGATAAAGGATGATTTACAACTATGAATCATGCAAAGCAAACCTGGTGGAGTCTGAGAAAATAAGAAAACATGCTAAAATTTCTTTTGTTTACTAACTGTTCTGATTTTGTAATAATAAAAAAAAACAATGCAAAAATCATTATCACTCCCTACTTGTGACACAATATAATCCAGGGTAACTAGAGGAAATGACCTCAACGTAAGCGGATGTCGACATCTGATAGTCTGCCGTTCCTCGTTGTTGAAAAGTTTAAAAAAAAAAAAAGTCTAAAAAATAGTCTATGCGACATCCAGAAAAGTTAAATAATGGCAAAAAAAATTTTTTCCACACGAGTATAAGCTCTGGTTAGTCTGTTCTCCAAGCCTCAGCATCAATGACCCAAATTAATTGTAAACCAGCAAGGGAAACCAGAAGTGGGTATGATTTGAGTTCACGGTCCAGGTGTCAGTGGTTGTCCACTTGTGTCTCCCCATGGTCTACAGTGAGTAAGCAGGCACCAGCTGTATACCTGCAGCAGTCACATGCTCCTGCCTGCAGTCCACCAGCCAGACTCTGTCATTAAGGACAGATGGCAAAAGGTCAGCCAGGCAGAGCTGTTCCACGGTTGAGTCACAACACAACATCATCTTGTCATCATCATCATCATCAACACAGTTCATCAGCATGTCAACACAACACAACACACATTAAATGCTTCCCCACAGATTAAAAAAATGGATATTATTCTTAATAAGAATATGTTCCTCTGTTACTGGAAAGAGTTCATTTCGATGGTCAGACGTCACATAAATTTGTCTTGACTGGTTTCTTGCAGTCATGCAGTTTTGAAGCAACCATACCAGCTTGATTGTGTGCGATATACGTGTGAGTGTCTACATGCCTAGGGCTTTTTGGTGTAAAAAAAATTCACTGTAATTCCTTTTACAGGTAATATCGATGTATATAGCAATATGAATCAAATGACTGTTTCTGCGCAGCGCAAAGGTTCCTTTTTACTCCTGACAGGTGAAAATATGAGTTCAGTATGAGTTTGTTAATAAGGATTTTTAAATTTTTTAGTTTTTAATTTATATATTTTTTAACATTAATTTGTTGAGCATATCAACAGTATATGCTGTTCTCTTTCTATTTTTATTAAAATTACTGTAAATGATGATTTTTAAAAACTTTTTTAATTGAGTTGGTCAACACTTTGTGCCATCTTCTAGCTGCACACATTTATGTGAAATGCTGCGTGTTCGTGTGTTACTTAAATTTTTAGTCTAATTTAATATTGACATATTTTCTTTGGTGCTCCTGTGTCTTCTCCTGACTAATCCTGGTCAGATGTTCAGTCCTTTTGTCTTTATTGAATATCATTATTTTACGCAATGACTAGAGAATAATAATATAAATTAAACGACATCCTGGCGGCTTTTCAGTTCTGCAGATGTTTCTTTCCAGCTTTTCAGAGGTTAAGTGAGAGGCAAAACTCAGGGGAGCCCTAATGGAGACGGTGCTGCACGTTTTTAAAGTTACATAGATTTTCCCATGAAAAGCAGAGAAGATGTCTGAGAAACAAAAGTAGAGGACAGAGTAACTGTGGGATAGTGAGAGCAGCTGAATGAAAGGCTGTAAAGCAGTTAGCAATTTAGATGGATTATAGTAACAAATTGGCTAATCTCTCGTTCTCTGCTCTGTGCACAATCATTATCATATTTATGTGACAAACACACTTGGCCATGCTAAGAAAAAAAGTTTTCTCAATTGATGTGAACGTGAAAGTGAAAAATTTTACAGGCACGGTGCCTTTAACTCTTACAGCCAGGACATTACCATTTAACACAGCCAGTGGGTTTTAGCAGCTGTGTGATGGCAGCAATGTGACTCTGGTTAGTTTGTAATGTGACATTATCAAAGAGTCAGAAATCCTCTTCTTCCCATCAGTTGGCCAGGGTTTGCTCGATTTGGCACGTTATTCGAAGATCTCAGAACTATTATATGTGATTGCAGCTAATGAGTAGTTTTACTATCAGTACAGTTGTATTATTTTATTAAAATTAAAAAGCAATAGGAATTAGTGTTTGTTAAATGAAATTATATAATATGAAGTGTTTAATAGTAAAACCAGATAAAATAATGAAATAATGAAGGATGCAATATAAAATTGCTGTGCTGGTGACATAAAACCACTGCAGTATAAAAACAAACGTACTGTTTTAATGATGTGAAGCAAAACAGAAAATTCTGAATCAAGATTTTTTTTAAATTTTAAACATTGTAAAACATGTATTGTGGAAATGGGGGTGAACCAATTTTTGCAGTATTTGTCATGCAGATTATTATCTACCTGTTGGCAAAAGGGGTGAAATTTTGCAATTTTACTGAATTTGCGCAGCATGATGAAGAGCTGAAAGACTCTTCTTAAAGATGTTTTTTTTCCTGGCACAAATGAAAGCACGGCAAGAGCAGAACAAACATAAAACCTGGAGTGATTATTAAATAGCCAAACCAAAGGCTGAAAATCCATATACTTTAATTAATTATTAAATATTTGAGGAAACTGCTTACTTTAAAAAAAAAAAAAATCTGTGAGCTGCTATTATTTTCTCAGCATTAGTAAAATAGGGATTTCATGTAGTTTACATAACCGAGGTTTTACATCAGTCAGGCAAAAAAAAAAAGTAATATATGATTTGTTTGTGTACTTTGCCCTGTGAGACCCAACCCATCAAAAAATAGCCAGAAAATTCAGATTTTGGGGAACTTAGATTTTGTTAACCCTTATAACAAAATCCACAAAATTTTTGCTATATCATGTTGTGTATGATATATTTTTGTTATATATTTATTATATGTTTTTTGTATCGCTTTTGATACATTGGATGTTTTAGCAACTTTTTGTTAACAACAATGTTAATTTTAGACAAAAAAAAAAAAGTTTTGTCCATAACATTTTTGGAATTATGGCAAGTATTTATCACGCTGATGAGATAGAGGTCTCAGAAATTCATGTATCAAATATGATACAAAGGGGATTATAGGGTTAAGCGCTTTGCCCAAATAGTAATGAAAGGAAAAATCAAAAGTTCATTTGTTGATCATCTAAAGTTTTCCTGTTTGTGGTTTAATTTGTAAGAGTACGCTTTCTTTTACTTTGATTTTTGCAATAAATGTTGTTTATTATTATAAATCCTGAAAAACTAAACTTGTGCTTAATTAACAGATTTCTTGACTTCTCTTGAATTTTCTCGTATTAAAACAGTTTTTTTTTGCAACATTCTAAAAAAAGCTTTCTTGTAAATGTGCCATTGTGTCCAACATTTTGTGAATAGTCTCTGTTTCTGTAATCTTTGTATCCGAAGTGTGTGTGACGTGACAATGGTGCACATGTTTGCGTAGAAAGAAAAAATGAGTAATTGTGGATGATAGGAGGGTCTGTCTTCATGCTGCAGGGACGCCCTCCCCACGCTCCACCAACCTGCCAATCATCTCTCTGACCTCGCACCTTTCTAACTGATAGTGATGTAGATGTGTCCGTCTGCTGCTCGTGGATAAATGATCACTAATCAGCCAAAGAAGATGAAGGACAATTTTGTAAGTAGAACTGTTACCATACACGCTCACCTTTTGGTTTTATATGTCAAAACATGATTTTCTGCTGGCAGGAAGGCTGTTTTTTCCTGTTGTGGTTAAGCTGCTGAAGCCGAGGCAAACATTTGTCATAGTGATACACACAAAAACAAAACTTCAGGCGGAGCTGTTTTGTAGTTGTTTATGTTTACTTCCTACCTTTTTTATATTCAATAGATCATTTAGAGTCTCAAAAGCAAAAAGAAACACAACAAAAACATACGTCTAGCCCTTGAACACAGAGTTTTTGGACTCAAAAACCGAAAACCTTGCTTTAAATCAGACCATTCAGAAAGGCTTACGAACTGCCTTGACGTTCTCAAACAAGAAAACCACACGGTTCAAAACTAATAAATTCTTTACAATGTTCATATTTCCATTTATAACAAACTATTGCAAAGGAAATGCAGCTTCCTTCTCTGACTTCCTTTGCAGGTGGTAGAGTAGCAGCTGTAGAAGATTTAATATTCAGTGATAATTAATCCAACTTTTTCTCCTGTGCTGGAGTCGGTCTTTCAACGATCGTTATGATCACTCCGGTTATAAAATAAGTCAAAGAAACCTCTACTTTAACCTTGTTCTCGCAAATTTGATTTATGTCCAATTTCCCTCTCAATACATGCTTGTTAGAAGGGAAACGGTAACTCTGAAGTGACATGTTGCAGCTCTCACGTGCTTTGCGTATGAACATAAAGACGGAACAATTATGCCAGTTTGTCTTCACAATCTTCAAGCAAATGCAAATGTGTTCTTTGAGTGTCATTGGTTAGTGTAAATGGTGGCATTAAAGCTGCTATAGTAATAGTACAGACTGTCAGAGGGCTCAGCCCAGACCACGTGGAGCTCTGGCATCTGTTTCACACCCTGAGAATACTTTTACTTTTGGCAGCAGTGACATGCTTCCCTGGCCTGGACCTCCTGCTGTAAATCATTTGACGATGAAAATCTAGCTAAAATAAGTGTACTCTGTATCCTTAGTACTGCTTCCTTATGTTTCTATAGCGCAACATACCTAACCCCAAACTACGTCCTATATCGACATACCGCCAAATTGGGTGGTAGTTCACAGCCATCACTCTGTATGACTGGGTGAATGAGGCAATGCTGGATAAATCTTTTTTTTTTTTTTACAAATTCCAGCCACTGAGGCATTATTACCTGCAAGATATGTGCTGTCCTTTGCAGAAAAACACAAGCCACGCCAGGTTTGAACCTTGTTCAAACTCCAGCTTGGGTTGCAGTTCAAAGATATGCATGTCATTCAGTAATTCTAAACTGGCCATGGATGTGAGGTACGCAAAGTACTAGTAAAAACTGAGTGGCTCAAAAGAATAGAAAAGTGCTATACCCTAACCCTCTACTAATGTCATTCTGTACTCTAATGGCTGAAGTCTTAGCATTCAGAAAAGAGAAAGTAAAGATAACTGACAGACGTGAAAAACATATTTTCTTAGGATTTTTTCTTTTCTTTTGTTGTGTGTGTGTGTGACTTTATTTCAGACAGCTTAAGTTATCGTTAGTGATTTTTAAAAGATGGCTGTATATTGTGGTTTTGTTAGTGTGTTTTCCCCACGGTAGCCTGATATATACCAATTGGAAGGTCGGTGGATCGATCATATTCTTGGGTCAGATACTGAACCCCGAGTCTCTTGCGAGATCCATCCATAAGAGTTTGAGTTTCTATGTGAATATTAGAAAACACTTAGGCATGGATAAATGCACTTTATGTAACTAGCTGAATGAGACGTGCACTATAAAGCAATTCTCAACTGTAAAAGTACCATATATACTTTTGAACCTTACGCTACTCTGTAACAAACAGTGCCGAGGTCACATCTGGATCTAACACAATTAGATTAGCTTACCCCTCTACAATGCACTTCTGACTCAGCAGATGTTTCACAGCAGGCATTTTGACTTGTCACAGCAGTTCAAGGCGCAGTTGTGCATTTACTACTACGCTACATTAAAACTAAAGGCGCTCCTTTCAGCTGGATTTGTTCCAAAGTCCTAAATGTGTGACACCATTTTCCCTGTAGGTCCAAATGTCTAGCACGCAAAAAGGAGGAAGACTAATACAAACTGAACTGCACAATCTTTGCAAAGGTCAAGTGTCATAAAATGAGCTACAGCTGAAACAGCTTCAAGGATACATCAGTGCTATTTCACAGGGTTTTAACCTAATGTAAAATTGGGATGGTGCTTTTTTCCTCAACTGCAGCAACACGGTTCCAACCCTAACTCTAAACCTGACCGTGTTACCCCAACCAGAGACCCTTCCAACACTATTTGGAAAATCCATGCACTAAAGCTAAAATGCAGTTCATCCTTAATACGGGAAAGCATGTCATAACAATTGATATTTTAGCTGCCATAGCCAGTTCTAATCCAGATACAAAGTTTTGTCATGCATGTGTTTTAGAAAGCAGGACTAATCCCAGCATGTAATTCACACACGACCCATGTCTGGGCTTTAAGTGCCACAACTTGCTGCCTGGGTTTGTGTGAGGCCCCTCTGAAGTATCTGCACTCAACTGTACAGCCCTGTCTGCTTCCAGTGATGCACCTCCCCATCCCCAGCCTGGCACTACGAGTGAAAGAGGCTATTGTTCCTAACACTCTGAGGCATGTAGCATGCACTTATGACACCAAGTGGGAGAAATTGTTCCCATTATACCCCTGGAATGTCTTTGAATCAATCAAGTTTGTATGAATACATGCTGCTCTTTAGCAGTTACAAAGAAATGGTGCCTATTAAATGGTGAAATTAACAAAAGGCAACTTTTTCTGTGCAAAAACTATTATAAAGAAAACAGTAGTGCAACTTTTGAATCAAAAGCAAAACGCCGTTTAATCTCCCTCTTCATGGACCATTTTTCATCCATACCCTGACCTGGAGCAGAGACCACATTCAGATATTTTGAATTAAGATGACTGGTAACATTGTACAAGAAAACAATTGATATTTGGGCATTCTTTCTCCTGAGTTCCCTCCTTTTCTTACTGAGCTTTAGTGATGTGTATCAAAGCACAGCTGGGAAAATTGTCTGCTCCGCTCATGGATATTTCTGTGAAGATGTAATTGTTTCTTTTTTTTTAGTAGTATGGCTGTGCAGTGGAATTCAAAACAGAAAGTAGAGTTCTCAGTTTTCTCAGGCAGATCATTTATTCTTCACATACCATAAGGCTCTGAGTCCTCAAAACAGAGCATTCTTGGCTTTGACCTGCGTGAAAACGTTTGATTCTGCTAGTGGTGCAAAAAACAATAAGAACAGCAAAACCGTTTCAAAAAAATCTTAGGACACTTCACTACAGTTATTGCATTGGAGTCACACTGGGTTAAATATGTACACTTGGGTTTTAAGGGGTATTTATTATTTTCTTCTTTTTTTTTGGGTTGTATGGAAGCCCCAAACGCAATTTCATTGTTCTTGACAATGACAATAAATAAATAAATACTAAAATACTAAAGGCTACGTTCACACTGCAGGCGAAAGCGGATCAAATCCAACTTTTTTGACCCGATCCGATATTTTCAAATCCGACCCAGGTCACTTTCGTGTGTGGTACTGAATCCGATACATATCTGACGCTTTAGAAAGCGACTGCTGTTTGAATGGTCATGTCGCATTAAATCCGTCTTTTACGTCACTGACACAAGACAGACCCCAATTATCAGTGCCGGAGAAGCGCCCGAGAAGACATCGTGAACGCTTCCTGGCCACCCAGCGTAACTGTTGGGAAGACAACGTTGGAGAAACATGAACATTTTATTTGTACTGTATAATCTGCAGATTCTGACAGAAATCTGCAACTATCCTTTGAAGCACCGCCCCTCTCTAAAACAGCAATAAGGATCATTATTAGGCCATATGTAAATAACAAAATAATTTTATAACTTAAAGCAAAATTGGGAAACGTAAAGTCTGAAACAAGTCTTTATATTAAGGGCCGTCAGTCAAACAATACTGTTTGGTCTGGGTCTAAACAGAGCGCGTTGTATGTGACGTCTTCTTTTGCGCATGCGGGCCGCTTTGAGGGTTCACACTAGAGCACGTTTGCTGTCACATTTTATTTGTAGTGTGAACGAGCAGACAAAAAAATCGGATTTGATCAAAAAATCGGAATTGAGCATTAAGACCTGCAGTGTGAACGTAGCCAAAGTGTAAACCAAGAGCACTATGCAGGGGTCATGAAATACAGCTCTATTTCCGTCAGCAGGCTATTTTTAACCCTGCTGTATCATGTATCCCTTCTTGCCATTTTGTTCCTTTGTTGAGTTGGGAGGGATAGCATGGCAGGCTAGGTAAGGTAGAACCTCTGTTAGTGTGTGTGTGAGGGAGAGATGTGATCTGTTGCACGGGTTGAAAATGTTCTGTCACTAACTCATTAGCCCGATCTGCCTATGTTGGTACTTACTGCTTTCACTGCATCTGCATTTGTGGTCTTTGATAGGATCCAGATGTCTGTCTGGAACACAATACAGTCCTTGTACAAGCTTTACACACGGCCATACATATAGCAAATAGAAGAAATACTGAAGAGCAACCCATATAATGTGTCAGTTTAATTCATTTATAAATGCTTCAAAAGTTACCAACTCACTCATGTGTAATGCTGAGTGCATTATTGGTGGCAGTCTAGGCCTATTGTATTGGTAACTTTAAATTCAGCTCTGAATTTAAAAGAGAGCCAATGAAGAGAAGCTAATATGGGAGAAATATCATCTCTCATAGGGTTCACTGTCAGAGACCCTAAGAAAATCATCCGTAACCTTCTCTAGTGCTGTTTCTGAATGGTGATAAATTCTGAATCCTGACTAAAACTCTTGAAATAAACCATTTGCAGATCATTTAGCTGTTTTATAACTACTCTTTCAAGAAGGAGGAGGAAGGAAGGTTAAAGATTGGCATATAATTAGCTAAGAAATCCAGTCAGAACTGAGATTATCTGCTTGTTTGTCC